GGCAATGATGCGGCTAGTGGTGGTAGTGATGGCACTTTATGTAACATTTAACCGTTTACTATTTTTAACATATATTTTCTTACTTTAACATCACAAAACACTGACTAATAAATTTTAATCACCCACTTATATGGATGAGAAAGTGGAACCTTCTTTAGAATTGAGTTTCCCACCCAAGGCCACAGAGTTAACCCAGACCTTAAGTCAAATTATTTGATTCTAAAGTTCTTTTGTTTTACTGGATGTAGTGTTTGCTCTATGGCGAGATCCTTGGTTGGACTTTGGAACAAATAAGAATGTTTTGTAGCAATGAGGAGACAAATGTACTTTGGAGATAGAACAGAAAAAAAAATGTTTTCAAAATACTCTTATAAAAAAGTATGAAAACAATTTAGAATTTCTCAAAACTTGGTAAAGCTCAACTTCATTTTATTCTAACCTTGCAGAATGCAAGCTTACTTTGTTTATATTCCAGCATCTTACAAATCTCAATTTGGAATCACTCTGGCCTCCAGTGTGCCAGGTCCCATTACAGATTTAACAGATCAAATGTTGGAAGTTTTATGGTTAAACATAATGGAATGACTATGCCCAGTTCCTTTTTCTTGCTGAGGTTTACTCTCTCCCGTTATACTCCTTGTATTTTAATTGGAGTTTCAGTGGTTAAATATTCCTGCATAAAAAAAGATGAAAAGATTTCAAAATTAAACATTAACAAATCATTCTCATTACCTTATTCTCAAATAACACTTATTCTTTGACTTCTTTGTCTGTTTCTGATTCTGACTTTAGTGAGGTTGCCTAGTCAGTTGAATATAATTAGTTGAGTTCTTGCTGTGTTGGTCTTTCAAAAATATTTATTTTTACAAGACCTTCTCTAGGATGTGTCCATAACACACCCATCCTGACCTGGAATCACAGTCCAGCCGATAGGATCCTACATGATCTTTAAGATGAATTTCATGCTTAATATAAGTGATGAGGTGTTACACATATAATGTACCATTTTATATCTTTTTTTGGTTTTATGAACTGTATGTTATTGCTATAAAGTAGGCAGCTACTAAACTACAGTATCAGACTTTTAAGAGTCCATTCATCTGAATTGAAGGGGAATTGTGAGATGGTTGGAGTCAAGAGACTTGTGTTCAAATTCTTGTCCCCATTTACTAGTTATATGACCTTAGACAAAACACGTAATCGAAGCATTTCTTCAAATGCAAAATGATATACTTCTAGTACCCATCATAGAGAGTTGCTGTGAAGCTTAAATGACTTCCCATGTACAAGGCTTATTACCATAGCCTGCAATGTCTCAACAGAAGACAGTTCTTATTTTTACTTTCTGCTGATGTATTTTCTATGTTTTTTAGCTTAAAATTCAACACTTGGAGTATTGGGGTTTAATTAAGTGAAGCTTGAATCTCTGGCTTTCTTTAAGATTGTATCAATGAGGAATGTTTTCTGCAAAGAGTAACAGAAAATATGACTGTTAGTAGCTTAAATAAGTAGAAATTTAAAAAAAAATTACCCAGTGGTAGTTCCCTCCTGGTGTTATATCAGCCTCAGTCTTGTCAGAACTGGTACATCTTCACTCCTCATGATCTTCCTCAGGTAAAGCAGGGTCAGAGGAGAGAAGAATCAGTGCCAACCTCACCTATTCCTTTCATCAGGAAAATAAAAGCTTTCTCAGGAAATTCTGTTTATGACTCACTTGCTAGGTTGGTACCACATGACCATCCCTACCTACAAAAAAGTAAACTGAATCCATGACTTTTCCAGTTTCTACTATAAAAATGGTATAGGACAAGGCAGTTGACTGGGTCAGACAGTTGCTAGCATTTTTCACACCAGGTTTAAAACTTTTCTCTGAATTATAAAGCAGTGACAAATATATTGAGATTACAAGTAGATTTATCTGGAAGCCAAGAAGTATTCATCCAGTCTTCCATAAAATCATTTATTAAAGTGTCATCTCCCTATCCCCCCTCTAAAGAACAAAATCTGTCAGCAACTTCTAAACCCCTTACAGGTTCCCACTACAGTTCCTTTCTTCCCTTCACTTCCTTTTTGCCTGATGAATCCTCTGAGAATTTCCTGGACAGTTCAGTTCTTAGCCACGAGGTGGAGCCAAGCATGATAGGCATGCAAGGGGCAAGAGGGAAGAAGGTGACCCTCAGCCCTCTTGGGTAAGGAAGGAGAGCCTCCTGGGGGAATCCAGGCTTCTTGCTGCAGAGAAGCCATCTGAAGGGCAGGGAACTTCTGTGCCTGAAACTGGAGCCTGAGCTCAGTGAGGAATGTGGGGGAGGGAAGAGGAGAAGGGAGCAGTGTGAGGTAAGCACCACTCCCAAAATTCACTATACAAAGGAAGGAAAAAAAAAAGGAAAATAAATCATATTTCTGATTTCACTTATTTCATTTCTTTGTTGGAAGGATGCAAATAAATGGGAATACATATACCTATGATCTCTCACCTTCCCTCTGGCACTCTAATAAATTAATTTTTTTCTTTGTTTCTTATTTTCATGGGTCTTGGTCTCTTTTCCTATACATATATGATTTTGACACGGCTTCAATAATAAAGGCATACATAATGTAACATTCTGCTTTTTAAAAATTCCTCTGTATATTAAAATTGACTGATTCTTAATGGAGGTCCTTGAGATAAGACACCTATCAGCAGACTTTTCCATTCTTCTCTTCTGCTTGGTATTTCAGATGAAGTCTGACTTGTTACTTTATCTATAGGGTATATATTAAAATAGCAGGAGAGTAACCTAATTGCTTCCAGATTTCTCTGTGTCTTGTGAATTGGATGGTTAAAATTCGAGTTATCTTATCTAGTGCCCTTATCATTTTATTTATGCCAACAAATGTAGTCTCACTATTTACTTAGAGATTGTTATATATGATCCCCAGCCCCAGCCCCCATTTCAGTAGTTACTTCAGACATTTGTGCACTGTTACTAGTTAAGCAAAAAGGCATCATTCAAAATGTATGCCTGTGACTGTCCACCCAGGCCACCACCATAGGGTTCAGTATGCACTGTTTATCGGGTGACCCTTTTCTGCATCAGTGAATTACTTTGGACACAACTCAAGCCTCTGATGGAAGTGTGAGCTGTTTGATGCCCATGTAAAATCTTTTAAGACCTTTGTCATTTCCTCTAATGCATGGATTTGCAAAAGCCTGCGGATACTTGGTATTTATTGAAGACACCAATTGGCGTGAAAAGTCAATAGCAAAAAGAATTAATATATGATATATTTTATGAAGTCTGTTGTGAATTTAAAACATTAAACAAGACCTCTCAGATTCTCTTCTGAAACCCTTCTTATTCCATGTAGTATATACACATTTTATTTTTTGAGTGACTTTATTATACTTTTATGACAAACTATTTGCTCACTATTTAGAGTATTTGCTTTAGGACGATTTATTGGTACTTTCAGTTACTTACACATGAGTTAGCTTTTCCATTACAAATTCATTTTAAAGCTTATAGTATCTTAAATTCTTTGTTAGGTGAGGCTTTTTTTCCCTTAAATTGATGTATTAGAAAAAAAAATAATTTGGAGAATTATACTATTTTTATGTTTAGTTCATTGTAGTGGCACAAATAGTGCCTGTGTTTTTATTGTTAAGGAGTCTTTATTCTTTCTTACAAAAAAAAATGTATATAATTGTAGGCAGTCTTAGCTCTTTTGTCCTAGCCTGCCCCCTTCCCCTCCCCCGCTTTTTTTTTACATTTGAGAATGACCCCTAAAAGTTTTTAAAACAGGACATTACCCCTAATATTGTGAATTATGTTTATCTTTGTCACTGCTTACTGATTCAGGTTGTCGACTTCACTGTGAATACTAAGAGGCTCTGTTTGTTCAGAATTACACTGATAGCATACAGAAAGCCAGATTAGGTCACAGGATGTACCCCGTCTCCTAGACTCTTTCCTGATGAACCGGATTGTTCTTCCAGTGGTTTCACTAGGTTTTTTTGCCCCAGCTTTGTCCTAAGAATGGTTTGCTTTGCATAGAAGTAACCCTTTCCAGGGCACAGTCGATTTTGGTATTAAAATCCTTCTATTCTTTGTTCTTTCTCTGGAATGGCCATTGGAAGGCACAGGATACCATTCCTCTTGGTCATCTCCACATTGCTCAGCCGTCACATCTTTCCTCCCTTGATTTTGCAGTAGTTTCCTTAGACTTAAATTGTTGTTAAATGTAGTGAAGAGGCAAAGCAGCTAAGTCTGGGCTCTCGCTTTTCCCTTTTTATATTGCTCCTCTCCACTCATCAGTTCTCTTACTTTAGGGGACAGTCATATCTATTTCTCCCATTTGAACAAATGTAATTATAGGTCCTGAACTAAAAGTGCCTAGCTGTATTAGTGATTTGTTTTAGTTCTTAGCCTTACAAGTGAGATTCATAGTACGTGGAGGAAGAGTGCTGGGGCAGAAAATGACAGCCAAAGGCAAGCAAAACAAATGTGCATTAAGTTGGTGAGTTTTTTAAAAGAAACCCTGTCCAAGGTAGACAGTCTCCACAGTTTTGTAGGTAAAGAAAGTAGACAATTCAGAAGGTAAAGAAAGTAGACAATTTTGGAGGTGTCCTATGACTGAGCATCCTCTACCAACATCACCTTTATTCACATTCATTTATGAAGAATAAAATTTATTCCCACCATTATTTCATTGAACACTTTGAGGTAATCACTCACCAGAATGAATCTTAAGAGTCAGCCTCTCATTACACAGATATTTATCTCAGTTCTTTCAACAAAGATATGCAGATTCACAACTGTAATTTGGGGGCGGGGGGTCTCCCATTCATTATTTTCACTAGTCCAGCAACCTGAAGGTGTGACAAGCTAAAGATACCATATTATGCTAGTTCAGCCACTCGATGCAGAAGTTTTTGTGGAGCCGGTGTGGATTGTGCTTTGTGTCCTGATGCATGTGCTGCCAACATAGGCTGTATTCTAATGTCTTCTTCAATTTCGCAGGAACCGACAATGGTGAAGCCCTTCCTGAATCCATCCCATCAGCTCCTGGGACACTGCCTCATTTCATAGAAGAGCCAGACGATGCTTATATTATCAAGAGCAACCCCATTGCACTGAGGTGCAAAGCAAGGCCAGCCATGCAGATATTCTTCAAATGCAATGGCGAGTGGGTTCATCAAAATGAGCATGTCTCTGAGGAGAGTCTGGACGAGAGTTCAGGTAAGAATATGAAGCAATCAGAATTAATGGTAACTCCTCAGATTCTCACATTGTTGTATGGCTGGGAAAAACTGTAAGCCACCCACTGTTGCCTTATTTGAATAAGATACAATTGCATCTTATCTTTTTGGGATGATGTTAATATGACATCGTTCCAGGAATATCAGAGGCAATTGCATCTTTAAATGACTCCACAACTCTTTTGCTAGTCTACTCCAGTATGGTACAGGGGCATTTGTTTTTCTTGCTCTCTATAACTTTAGCACCTAATTTTGCATGAAGTTAATATTTTCACTGGAAATTAAGCCAGGCAGTCCTTGTTTTCATTTTTTGAATTCTGAATATTTTGAGGACAATTATTCCACCAAACAAAGTGCCTTTTTGAGAAGCATAGTTTCAGTTTCTTTAATCTCTCCTCCTAGATATTATTCTTGTGTATTTCATTCTCCACAGTTGGTGGTTTCTGAGTCTTTTTTTAAGTTCTTTTGATTACTGTATAATGATAGAGCCCAAATTAGACTACCAAATTTGAATACTATCTCTAGTGTAAAAAAATTTCAGGACCATCTTTCCTTTATTAATTTGGTTATTTGGGCTGATGGGTGTTGAGGAGGAGAATAATGCCCATGCTAGCTAATGTTTATTGAACACTTATATACCGGGCCTCATCTAAGTATTTGACAGACATTATCTTAGTACCTTTGTAATAGTCCTCTGGGTTAAATAATGCTGTCATGCCTTCTTGTAGATAAAGAAACTGAGGTTCAAAGAAATTAAATAGACTATGGGCTTGTGCTGGATCTCAGAGCAAGATCATTTAACTCAAAACTTTCAAAACTTATAACTTTTTATATTTCAGTTTATAACAGAAACAGTATATGCTTTTTAACTTTGGCTCCTGACACTACCTGAATGTTTAGCCTCATTCTGAATACAGTCTGGTCTCATACTAGATTATTGATTTTATTAGCCCTGATTCAATCAGATTTTGAATGTCAAAAAGCCCGAGTATAATTAGGAAGTTTCAATTCAGCTTAATTTGTTAACTATATAACCAATGCTATTGCTAGGCTAGGCCTTTCCGTATCCAAAGGGTAAGAAGCAAACACTGATCTCTAGGGCTTAACACCTATTAATGGGTGTAAGACCAGTAAGCCCATAAGCGCAGTACAAATGAAGTTATGGTAAATGTCCAAAGGGAGATAGGTGGTGCTATGGAGGATAAAAAGGGAAAAAAACAAACAAAAACCAAAAGATCATGTCTAACTAACTAGGACTATCAGGAAAGGTGTGGAAGCAATCGCATTTGAAAGGGACATTGGTGAATATGTCATTCAAGTGGGCATAATTGATGCTACACCAAGTGGAGTGAGAGGAGTCTCAGTAGTCTTAAGTTCAACATAGCAAATGAGAGAAAGCTTGGTATATGTTCAACAAGAAGTTTGATTTGGTCGAAATATAAAATTGATGTAGGAGAACTGTAGCTGAGAGCTGGAAAACTCACGTCAAGTAATGGCATGAACTGCCTCAAATAGCAGAGTGAGTTCTTAATTTTATGGCAATTTTGCTGGTGGTGGAGATTGATTATATTGACATATAGGAATGCAGTGGCTGGAGCTATGTGTCAAAGGATGAATCTGACCCAAGTGTTTGGAATGGTAAAGAGAAGTAAAAATGGGGAAGTTAGAAGACTTGGATAATTCAATTGCGAGAAAGTAGAATCTGCTTCTAGAGAGGTGACCACAGAAATAAGAACTAGATATCTGGTGTGAGAAGCACTTTAACAAATCAGACTTAATAGCTGGTTGAATGAATGAATAAAGATGGAGGTATAAAACTCTCTTAACAGAAACAGAAGGATAATGCAATTAATATAATTATATCAGCAAAGAGAAAAGTCGAAGATCATTATTTGGTCAAACAACGTAAAATACTTATGAGGTATATGAAGAGATATAATCTGGAACTTCGTAAAGTTCAGAGGTAGAAAAGTAGACTTGGTAATCATCATAGAATGAAGCCATGGAGATGGAGGAGTTATCAGGAGAAAATAGGTAATGTGAATAGGAAATTAATCTAGAGACATACATACCTCCTTAAGAGTCAGGGAAAGAAATATCAGCAGCCAACAAAGCAGTGAGCAGAGTATGCATGTTCCAAAGCAAACGGAGAAAATTATTTAAAAAGATCTTCATATAATAAATAGTCTGTCTCTGCTTAGGAATCAATAAAGAAGGCAGAAAGCTACATATATATAAGCAGAGTTAAACATTATACATTTCTAAACTGATTGGAGATTGTAGTATAAATACATCATTTCAAAAGGTAGAGAAACATCTACACCTTATCACAATTCCCTGTTTGTTCTAGCGTGGAGCTAATATGAGGAAGAAAAAAAAAATGCCAGTTTTAGAAATATTGTTCTGCAGATCAAAAGTATGTTTAGAATTCTGGAATCCGAATGTGAGAACTAGAAGGGGTCTTAGCGATAACCTACCGACCCTATATTATACATTAAAAATCTTAAGTTCCAAGAAGTACATCTTGTTCACGCCATAGCTATTTCTAGAATCCATATTTCCTCATTTCCACTTTAGGTATATTTCCTTGACACTAGAAGCCATCATTACATCCAGATTCCTATGTTCTTCTCAATCAAAATGCTGACAAATTCCCTTACTGACAAAAGTCTATGGCTTGTTATTTTCCATCATGATCTGTGTTTCAATTTCCCAAGTCTATAATCCTATAGTTTTTCCCTTGGAATTTCTTTCTTTCTCGCCATTTCTGCCATCTCCATAAGGGCCAATCCCTTATTCTCTGTCATGTTTCTGGCACTGTTAGACAAAAGTTTATTACAATCAAAGATACAGAGACATTTCCAGGATTCCAGGTATAGATTTTTTCAGAAGGATTTGGCATAATCAAGGCAAAAGAAGAGGGCATATCAATTCTTGGCGTTAGGAAAATTTCTGCTTTAGTGCTCCCAAGATTAAGATCACGATAAACCTGGCGTTAGGAGAGACTGAGTCGCAAACAATAGCAGTCTCACTTACCTGGCATGAAAATTTCAAAGGAATACTGAAATTTGGGAGAGGGCAACAAAAGGAATAGCATTTTCCACAGTGAGCAAACCCCTATAAAACAATGGTAGCATATGAAAGGTTTATGTCTCATATTCAATAAGTCCAACCGGAAAGGACTCAAATACCAGTGGCTCAGTGGGGCTGTCTGTTTTATTTTCAGATGTTTCTGTCCTAGATTTTATCCAGTAGTGAACTCAAAATAGCAGAGTCCCAGTGGGTAAACTGCTCCAAATGAAAGATAGGAAGAATATTGAAAAATGATCAGCTATTTTTTTTTTATACTGCTGCTAGAAAATCCTATATCCGTTCCCATTTAAAGACCTCTTGATGAGTACTGCGAGCCAATTTGACACTGTACCCTCTTGTAATTTCACAACATTCTGTTTTGTTATTGCTTCCCCCTTTTAATTCCCCTAGCATTGCTAGGCAACTCCATGTCTTGCAGATAGCAGTGTTGATTACATTCTCTGCCTCCACGTAAAAGCCTTCCCTCTTTACCTCCTTAAAAAACAAAAAACAAAACACAAAAAACAAAACACCACACACATTTCAAAGGAACGGAGGAACTGGGAAGAACAAACAATCATAAATGACAAAATCTGAAGAGATTATATATCATTTTTAAAAATGCTGTCGAGAAAGAATTTAACAGCTACCTTTTTGAAAAGAATTTAATAAGCACAATCTTTTCTTCCAAGTCATTTTGATTGAATCAATAGGAAAGAAATGTCTCTCCCTAAACAGTTTTCATCTGTGCGGTTAATGAAAACCACTGTCTACCACACACAGCAATTATGTTTCCTAAGCTCTGTATTAATAGTGGAATAGTGGAAAGCAGAGCAAGATGAGTGGGGATATTATACCCAAAACCAATACATAAGTGCAATTAAAGTTGGAATCAAAATGGCCTCAGGTATTGAAAAATAGATGCATTACTTCCCTTGGGTTCTTCAATGCCGAGTTTGAGCTCACAGCTTGACTTACCTTTACAGACTTAATAGCTTTTGATTGGGTCTGTAAAATAATTCCTGCCAGTCCAGCAGGAGTGAATGACACTGAGAGGCCAAGGACGGTGGGACCACATTTGACCAGAGGTAGAGAAATGTCTGCATTATTTTAAGAAGTTGGAAGTAACTGCCTACAAATCTTTGGCATTCTCCATTTCTGAAATATTGAAGAATTTTGGTATTCTCTTTCCTTACAGATTTTCTTTCTTTACAGAATTAATGGGATGTGCATAGGACCTGGGATTGTTTGGAATAGACAAAGAATCTTTTGTATTTCCAAATTGGAAGCAATAAGTCCTCTTAGTTGTTAAAAGGCTGCAAACTGCCCTTGATCTTTCTGGTAATTTGGCCCCCATCATCTAACAGTTTCAAATAAGAAGAAAAAGGATTGTGTGTTTCATGCAATTTAGCTTGAAAAACCCAGAGCTAGTGTTCTTTCCTGCACAAAGTACAATTTATTTGACATGAGTCAGTGTGTTTGCACAGCCGTGGCTATACTTCTTAGTAATGTACACTTTTCGTTCTCAGCACAAGCCAGGGGATCCTTTCATTTGTTCTGCTTCATTTCATCTGGAAATATGGGGACTCTTCTCCCTTGTGTTTTTTACTCTGTTAACATCTGGAATTGAGAGGCAATCCCGACCCAAGAATCATGCCCCTGAGAAGAGGGTGGAGTGATCAGTAACACAGAAATGAAAGAGCTTTAACGTAACAGGCAGACACACACACACTCAAAAAAGCCACCACCACCACCACCAGCAAAACCCATAGTTGGCTATCAAGATAATGTAGCCTGTGGGAAGCTTGAGTTATCAATAAGCTAAACCACTTCTTATTGTTTAATAAAAACAGAAGTTCCCTTAACAACACTCCATGGCTCTTATCTTAGTCCGCCTTGGAGATATCA